ATTTGTCATTCAATGTGTGACCACAATAAAATATTCTGAGACATACAAAGCTTTCCAATCAAGAGACTCCCATTGAAAATACCTTTAGAGTAAGTGGCAAAAAAGAACAAACAAAGAGAGAGAGAGAGAGAGAGAGAGAGAGAGAGAGAGAGAGGAAGGAAGGGAAGAAAAAGAAAATACATCAATTAACTCAGGAAACCTTGGTAGACTTGCCATTTTCTGAAGGAAAAAAAAGCTAATATTAAGAAAATGAAGAAAGCATATCACCTCCCCATTTGGTATATTCAAAATATCTCTCAATTAAGCTTCTGGATAGTGTCAGCATGATTGGCATTGCTAGTGTAGGAAGGCCAATGTCATAAATGTGTGCTAAAATTCTCATATAATTAGAGTAATATATATAATCAGAAAGTATCAAAAAGGAAAAAAAAAACTAGAACACTGGCAATAAAAATAAGAAAATAGAAAAAATATATCAATAATCTTAAATTTATTTATAATAGACTGAATTTACTACTTAAAGAACAGACTATCAGGATAAAATACACACTCTAACTTTGTACTGTTTATAAAAAACCCATAAAGCATAAGGAAGTAGGGAAGGTTGTGCAGGACCCAGATGCCATTCACCCAGCAGTGTCTCTGATTGGCATGCTGAGTGATTCGGTGTGTAGTGGTAGAGTACACTGTCAGTACTGCTGTGGATGGCAGCCTTAGGGATAAAATACTGAGAAAAAACATATTAGAACAGTGCTGATGTAACTAGAAGTAAGCTGATATAGTCACATAAATATCTAGGGAAATAAATTTAGGAAAAAGCAATTAATTAAAGATAGAAAGACTCACTAATCAATTCATAAGTAAGATACAATATTTCTGAGGAGGTACCAAGTGAAGTAGTTTATATATTCTCTGTATACATAGATATACACACACATGTTCATGTGTGCATATATGTGTGTATGTCACCATTGTAGTTATTTGATTTGGGGATGAATTCTTAGGTGTTAATGATAATGATAATTAAATAACAAAATAAAGAAATCAAATCAAATACAGCCTCCTGAGGAACAATAATGGTATTGATTTCTGATATACATTATGTCTAGGAACCTGGAGTAAAATGTTATTTTAAAAACCTAGGTGGCTTAAAAATATGATGCTAGCTAGGGTAATTTAATAATGTCTAGATAATGTCTACAGATAATTTTTCTAAGAAGTTTGCCTGTAAAAGAACATAAAGAAAATAGTTGATGATCAGAGAAGGGTCTGAGGACAAGAAAAGTATTTTTTTTTTAAAGAGAAATATAGACACATGATGTTTGTAGGCGAAATCAAACAATCCAGAACACAGGGAGGGGTTGGTTGTAAAGAAGTTAAAGGAGATAACCAAGGGAGCAAAGATCTTGGGTAAATGAAGAATAGGACTTGGGTACCTATGAAAGAATTGGCTTTTGGTATGAGAGGGAATCATCCATTTTAGCAGAAGGGAAATAGACGATGGGAGCAAATCTAAGTAGATTGTTGTGCATTCTGGGAGGAGAGAGTTTGCACTGATGTTTGTATTATGGACTCAAGCAAGTTGGGTAAAAAATAACACCTACAGAAATTCATTATCATTCAAGGAATTGGCAAATTTAAGGTATGAAAGTCAAGTAAAGAATGGAGATTTCTAGAGAAAAAAAAATAGCAGTTCTGAGTGTTAATGGTAAAATGGTTCTATCAGTTATCTGTTTTTTTTTTTTTTTTTGGTCTAAATAAATATAAACATTATGGTTCAGTTCAAAATGGGTGTTTCTTCTATCAGTGAAATATCTGCCCTGGAGTTTGTACATCAACTAATGTTAATCATTTTATATTCTTAGAAGTCATTAAGCTATGTGACAAAATATACACTCTTATGAAACATTTTTGTGTTGTAAAATCTTTTATTTAAATCTATAAATCAATGATTTTGATAAGTTTGTGAGCAGTTTTAGTTTTATATTCTAAATGTAAAATGTTTTGATTTGCATTTTAATTACCACCTATGTTTTTAACTATTACTTATTCTCAGTAGAGATACTCCTTGCTCTCTGCTTTTTGGCATTACCGCTAACTGTATGGTTTGGTATCCTGGTTCAGCTCCCAGACCCTGGACTTAGACTCCATGGATTCAAAACCCAGACTTTACTGGCTGTGTGACTTTGGGCAAAGTACTTGATTCCTCTGAGCCTCAGTTTCCTAATATGTAAAGTTGGAATGATAATGATAATACATATCATTTGAGGTTATTGGGAGGATTATGTGAATTAATACATTTAAAATGCATAAACTTGGCACTTAGAAAATATTACAAGTTTTAGTTGCTATTACTTCACTGTTGAGAAAGTTTACTCCAACTTTGCTCACACTACTTGCTTATTATACATTCAAAGTGGATGAAATGATTCTACAAGTTTGTGGGAACAGGAATCTTCATGAAGAGGAAGAAGGCTGAGGGCTCAGAAGCCACATAAAGTTAGGTGGAGGAGTGGGAGGAGCAGAGCATTGATATTGAACACACAAGTCCAAGACCACTTATTTATGAGAGCTGGTGACACAATACAACACTCTAAATCTTATTTGTAAAATGAGAATATCAATACCTATTTTGAAATCTTACACACATACAATAATGCCTATAAAGTAGACAGAAACTTAGAAATAATTCAATAATTTAAAGCCCTACCCCATCCCCATTTTTAAGAAACAACAACAAATTAGTAGCATATTTCACATATAATTTTTATCTTTCCTTTTTTGGTTAAGATTATCAAGACTATATTTTCATGTGGTTATTCTATTACATAAGATACCAAAAAGCTAAAAGTAGTCTGTTAAGTTCATGCACCAAAATTTATTTAACTGACTCCCTGTGTTTGTATATTTATGTTGTTTCCAACTTATTATACTATTGACAACCAAATAACAAACATCTATAATGATGAATCTTGGTATGCCTTTGTAACTTTTATTTAGTAAATAAAATTGTAATTTTATAAAGATTTAATTTTATAAATTTTATAGAACTTAACTGTCCACCAGTGACCTTCAAAAAAGTCATGGATGAAGGCATTGCCTTTCTCATCCTCACCAGTATGAACATTACCTTTATTTCAATCACTGCATATGTAGGTGAGAATAGTATCCCATTGCTCTGATGTTATTACCTCCTAATAAGGTTTTCATGTGATTGTCATGCATGTCCTTTTGTAGATTATCTTTTTATATCTTTGCCTATTTTTTTCTATTGACAACATCTTTTTCTTAATTTATGAAAACTATATTTTAAGTATATTATAATGCGTTGCATGATATAAGTTTCTCAAATGCTTTCTTTTACCACCTTCTATCATTTCTTTTGTATTTGTTTCTACAGTTTTTGGTATAGCAGTACAACATTTTTATGTATTCATAAAATGAATTTTTTATGGCTTAACATTTTGTATTATGTTAAGAGTGTCTTTCTTTACTCTCCCTTCTCTAATTTTAGCATGTGGATAACTTAAAAACCAGAACATTTGAATATCAGCACTCATATGCAGGCAAGTGAAAATCAGCTATTCAAATATAGCCCCATTCTGCTGAACTGATGTGTATTATTATGTTAACTGACATTTATTAAATGTGTGACGAATGCAGCTGTGATCACCAATACAGAGATAAGTCCTCCAAAATCACCTAATTATTTTTTTGTGCATCCGGAGTTGGAACTGTTTCCTGTGTATGGCTGAATCACAATATAAATAAGTCCTAATTTTGTTAATATATATTCATTTAGAGACTCAAGTAATAAAACCAAAAGAGAATCTTTGTTTATATTCACTTCACTTATTCTGCTTGAACTAGAGATGTAACTTCAGCCTGGATCTCAAATGCTGCCATGAGCAGAGACTCAGAGGCATGTCTTCATGTGCATCTGGAAAAGGAATTGTTTGGTAAAAACAAATCCCAGAGTGAGTTACCAACACAGCAGTCTCAGTATTTCCTTGGTAGTCCAGAGAAAGGATGAACTCTGTAAACTGTGTGAAATAAATTTCAGAGTGAGAGAAATTAGAAGATCTCCTTTGCAAAATTTGGTTTGGAAAACATTATTCTGGATATTTCTTGAGTGTGTTTTTGAGTGAAAATTACATTTAAATTGATAGACTGAGTAAAGCAAATGCCCTGCCTAATGTGAGCACACTTCACCCAAGTTGAAGGTCAGAGAAGAACAAAGACCAGCCCTCTCCCACGTCAGAACTTATGCTTCATTGCCCTCAAACTGGGACATCAGTTTTTTCCTGCCATTAGATTCAAGTGAAAAATAGGGTTTTCCTGGGTCTTGAGCCTGCCAGACTTTGACCTGGACCTTCAGTGTCAGCTGTCCTGAATCTTCAGCTTGCTGGCTTACACTGTAGATTTTACAGTTTGTTGGCTTCCATAATCCTAGAGCCTAGACTTAATACTAAATCTCTTGCTCCCTATTTTTATCTCGGTTGTTTCTAAGTTCTATGGGTTTTGTTTTTCTGGAGAACTTTGACTAATAACAGAAGTCCTGAATATAAACTTAGCCAAGGATCAAAATAAATGATTACCTTTTGATAAATCCCAGTTAAGCCCTGGCAAAATTCAAGGCATTGCCTCCTAAATGCAAATTGTGTCCTTAACCAAATGACTGTGTTAATATCCAACACACAAGGTTGTTGAGGGCTCATATTAGATAATAGATAATAAAACATTAAGCCAACTGCTAAAAAAGTCTTTGTTATTAATTACAATTTTATCTGAAGTAACTCATGAATGGCAATGACCTTAGCAAAAAGATCCCAACTAAATGATTGGTAATAATTGAAAAGTAGAAGACCATTACTTGCCCCCCTCCAATACAGTACTAGCATGTGCACATGCACAACACACATGCTCACTACATACAAACACACAGACACAAACACACTGACACACAAAACCCTGTTTTGAGGAAAAAATAAAGTTGATGGTTTAACTGTTAAATGTTTTTATTTGTGCAGATTTGTAACTTTTATAGGACATGCAGGATAAAAAAGTGTAAAATATATCAGTAAGCATATAAAATTTCAGCAATTTTTCAGACCAGCAATTAATTTGCATGAGGGACTAAGCCTCTATACAGAACAGACATGTCTTGGGATATACAGTATACAAACTGAATCATAAAGCCGTTTCCCAAATGATTTTCCTCAAATAAAGATAAAAATATCTTTACACTTAAAAAGTATGCAGTATAGTATATTTTTTCAGTTATGTACACTGCTTAAAAGAAAAAAAAAACTATGTCCACGCCAGTGTCTGTTTTAAATGCAAACGATCATAGTAGGTAACAGATTGGTAATAAAACTGTCAAGAAAATTGGAAGAGGCAAAAAAAAAAAAAAAAAAAAAAAATCAAGCAGAGTTCCAATAAGTGTATGAAAATAAAAAATAAAAGCGTAACTGGAGGTTTAAAAAAATTTTCCAGCAGCAGAAATGCAATATGAGCAGGAGGAATAAAAAGCTTTTGGAGGTACCAGGCAGCTTTCTGTATGAGTCAGGTTTACAGGTGAAATTCCTCAGTTTGAGTTCAGAAGAACTTGAACTTATTCCAGCAAAATTACCTCAATCTTTTATTACTGCCTCCTCCCCCATCTTCTCTCTGAGCAAAATGATGCTTGGATTAGGTCCAAGGCTCCTGGCAGGGGGAGGGGCCAAGTGTCACAGCGTAGCAGATGGTTGCAAGGCTTTACTCAGAAGGGGTCATGTTTGCAGCCGCACTGACAGTCTCACACAATGGCCTCCATTTTGACAGCCCTTCCCCAGAGGCCCACTGATCAGCTGAAAAGGGAACACAATGTTGAGCCACTAAACCACCCTAGTGATGGATTAGTTTGGATTCAGGAAAGCGTGATTATTCTTGAAAATAAATGAAGCTGAATAGACATGCTGACCTCATTCAGCTGATGAGAGGCAGGGAAAGCTGGCGTCTACTCCTGCCAGCCCAGAGAGGGCTCAGCCCCATTCGTCCACTTTCATTCATTTTATCGGGCTAATGTTGACCATACTTGACATGGATAAAGATGCTACATGATCGAGTGCAGACAGGAGCTTCCCCAGGTTCTGCATCTCAGAGTCAGAAACAAGTATAGGGAGCTAGGCAATGGGTTTTCTTTCTAATTTTGGTCTTCAGGGAGGCTGCTGATCTAATAACAGTTGATGAGTTAGATCCTACTTGAAAAGGACCATGTGACAAACAGGAAGGCACTTAGGTTTTGTTATCTCTACAACAAATACTGAGGCACAGAAAATTTCAAGAAGAAGGAATGAGTGGGGTCATGTCAATGCAGAAGATTATGCTTTCTAACTTGATAGGGATCACTAGATCCAATCGGATTACTAAGATGAATGGCAGCAATTCATTAACTCCTCATGATGGGGAGAAAGTGTGCTTAAAATCAGCCCACATACTTGTACACTCATGGCCACAGCCTGGAATTCTTTCCTCCTTATAAAATGATCAATATTTTAAGAATAGGCACTTGAGGTTATTGGTTCTCTTTTATCCCCTCCTGAGTTCTTCATATTTCTGTCAAATTATCTTTCAACAATATGTTCATATGTTAGCCAATAAACCAATGATCCACTTGCAAATCAAAAGGTCAGAAAAAAACTGGAATGGTTTTAAAAAAAATTCAGATCACCAAAAATAGATGAAATAGCTCAGAAGAGACAAATAACAGTTATGAAAACTGAGAAAGTGATTTCTTTGTTCTGAACCATGATAAATCATTCATAAATTGTTGCACTAGCAACTTGAAACTTGGGATTGGCACCAGGAAAATCACAAGGAAAAAAAAAAGGAATAATGAATACTTTTATCCTTGAAATGTCATTTATATTTCTTTCTGCGTGTTGATGCGGATATTGCTGAATATTTTGCCAATGGCTTCAAAGAGTGGATCACAGAAGGTGTGGATGTAGATGGAATAAACACGGCTGATGCACTGAATCTCAATCAGGAAACTCTTAATGCACGGTACAACTGCCCAGATGTGCAGGAAAGAGAGAATGGCGAAGTAAATGCCCCAGATGAGTGCCATCGGGATGCCAAAAATGGTGGACAGTAAGCGGTAAAACCAGTATTTTGTCACAGTGAAGGTAGTGAAGCTGGCTTTCCAGATGCCATCGAAACTGTGTGTCCCTTCTGGTTCTGCAATCACATCTTCAAAGTCGATCTAAAAGAAAGACGTTAAAGAATATGAGCATGCGACAGAAGAAAAGAGGGGGAAAATACTCAGAATTTATACACATTTATTAGTTCTGTTCTAGTCCTTTGTGAGATGCTTGAAAGCAAGCAGCAGCAACAGCATCACTTAGAACTCATAGGGAAAACATATTTGGGGTCCACTTTGACCTTATTGTAGCTATAGTGGAGCTTAATAGCATTTTAACATGTTCCCCAGGTATTATTTTACCATACCAAAGGTTAAAAACTACTACTGCTCTCGGAACAACCAAGTGGATGTGATTAAATATCTTGCTTAAAATTCAAACCCAGTGACATGGATAAGGTCACTGGGAACTCAATAAAATACAAAGAACATGATTAATTAGTTTGGAATTAATTTATGACTCTTCAAACACCATTAGCAGAGTTCCTTCAGGAAATGAGATCATTGTGAGCTTCGAGGCACAGAAAAGTCCTCATGGGATGGTGAGACTTGAACAGGGCTTGGGAAGTGGGGTATGATTTGGAGAGGAAGGAAGAAGGGCCTTGGAAATGTTGTGAGCGAGATCCCAGGAAATAGCTAGGGTGAGGACAGTGAGCACCACAGTCAGAGTAGAATGGTGTGATCAAGCATGGAAAGACAGATTGAGGCAGGACTTCATACTGTGAGGTCTACTGGGGATGTCTGACGGAGCAGGGAAGCACAGCCTCAGTCAGTGCAAGGCAGAGAGACTGAAGCAACAGCCAGAGTTGGGGACAGTAGGGTCGAGCTGGAAAATGGCCATAAAAACAAACAAATAAACAAAGGAAAGAAAAGAAGGGATTCCAGGGATATTGAGGGAAGAATTCATACGACTTAGTTACTTCAAAGAGGTGGGTGGGACTCACATGAGCTTTGAGCTTCTGATCTGAGGACAGAGGCGACGTTAAGTAGTACATTAGAAAAAGAAGGTAGTCAAAAAAAGGGGGGCGGAATATAACCAGAGGTTCACTTTTGAATTAAATAAATTAAGAGTGAAGTTTTGGATAATGAAAGATATGATTATCAGTGATCCACCCCTAATGAATCCTATAGATGTCCTTTCGGGTGGGCTTTAGGAAGTAAGGAAATGAGTTTGCAGTTGCAGGAAACTTAGAGCCAGTAAATTCTTCTCTAATGCATCATCTGCATGTATGTCTTCTGGGGTTTCAAACCCATCAGAGATGGTAGCTTATTGGAATTTTGTAAAAGAAGAAGGGCAAAGGCCACTTAAGCACACAGCAAAGGAGGAACTCAGAATAAAAACTTTCTCAATAGTATCCTCTTGTGGGTACCTAATCACCTATGCAATTAGTTTTTAGAATTTGTATTAACTAAACTAGAATTAACTAGTGCAGAATTAAACACAAAATTATCAACAGAAATGTAGGGCAGCACCAGCTCAGGTACTTGTGGGTGGCAGCTATCTGAAGGGATCTAATGTAATCTGGAATCCAAACAAGTCAATGAGATCCAGCCAAGCTCAGGATTAGGGAATGAGGACTTGGATGACTCTAAGGAGCTGCTCAGTGCCAAAGAGTCACCTTTGATTCAACACAATAAAATGTCTTTTGGAAAAAGTACATGATGCTTACCAATTTTGAAGCTTTATTTTCTAGAACATTCTGTTTCTTGATCTATTGCCCAATTTCCTAATAGTGTAATATGCAAAAATGGTATGGTTATAATTCTGTACATGAAGTTAAATAGATTTATTATCATTCTAATATTTCTTTGTCCATTTTGATCAGATTTTTTATTTATTTTTACTTTTTTTTACTTGTGTTTTTTAAAAGGTTGTAGGAAACGTGGCAAATTGGATCAACATTTTAATGATATTTCTATGTGACTTTGATAATTGTCTGTAATGAGGTTTTGTTCTGACACTGCATTCTTCCCAAAGTTTTAAACAATAAACTTGTGATTTTCCTTTAAACCCTCACATTTTCATTTTTTATGAAATTATTTTGTAAGAGAATTTAATGAAGTCAAAATTAATGTATTAGAAGATCTTTCTTGACATGGGGTCACAGGATGAGCAATGGTTATTCACAAATACCCTGAGATGGGTATAGAAATTTTGAGTGTACAAAGTGAAAAGGAGCATTACTTTTATTACAGAATAAAGCAAACTACCAAAGAAAGCTAAGAAGTGGTTTACTGGAGAGAGGCAATTCCTTGCTTCTACAAAGCAGACTCTCAGCAGGTCTGCACTGAGAGTCTCTTGCAAGGAAAGGAATCATTCCTAACATTTGCTGACAGGTTATTAGAATCAACTGTTCTTGATATAACTCATAGAAAGTCTACAATAAATTATTTCCATTTCATAAAAAATGTGAGGTTTCAAATGTTAATGAATTTCACAGGCAAATAAGAAGCTTAAATCTGGTCTAAAATAAACCACTGCTTTGGTTAATACCACACTTTACAAAAACATTTTTTCATGTTTTCTCTAAGGTGAGCATGGTATTTCATAGTAATTAAAAGGCACACAGATTTTTAAAAAAAGACTTTGCTGGATTTAACCCTTTGGGAACTAATAATCCTTCTAGCATGACCTGTGAGGACAGTATTACACCTTGTACACAAATAATCCATGTCATATAAACATATTCAGTTTTTGAAGACATCTATGAACATATGAGGATACAAAGTATTTCTTGACAATAATTTTTCCAAACATAAATATAAATACTTCTTTCAATGATCATATTGGAAATTCAAATGCTTTCTTTTAAGTTACTTAGTAAACTTTGGGGTGTCTGTATTTTCAGTACTTTCCAGAAAGAGTTAGTGAGCATCATTTGTCTCAAAAATCCAAGTGAATTTAGAGCAGGTCTCCAGGGCTAGACAGCAATAAGACCAAAATAACATGTTATATAAATATATTCAGTTAGTTGCTGCTTTTGCCTTGAAAATTTGAGGTAGTTTAAAACAATATTAAAAGTACAGCTGGAAAAATAAAGCAAAGCAGCCTGAAGAGACACAATGAAGATAGAGGGAAAACTTGGTTTCACTCTACCTCCTTTTCCACACCAAAAGGTTTCTGTGAAGAGTGCAGGAGGGAATGCACATGAACTACTCAATATGGGCACAGTGCATTGCAGTATACAAAATGCCCAGTAAGTAGCAATGTTAACAATTACTTGCCCTGGATGCCTAGGTTTTTTAATGGACAATTATAATAAGAGAGATTCTCAGTTGCAAAGCACACAGTGGCTTAGAATTCAACCCCATAACTGACTCAAGACCACTAACTTGCATCTGCAATCATCTTCATCTCAGTCCTCTGAGACACCTGTCATTATTCCCCTTTTTACAGATGAAGGTACTGATGGAGGTTAAGAAATTGCTCAATATCACCCAGATGCTAGGCAGCAAAGCTTAGCCTTGGCATATTTCAAGTCTCCACCTTTTGCTTCTGTATCCCTAGGGCCCTTACAATGATCCTCATGATTTAAATTTCACCCAGCTAGATGGGTTTCCTAAAACATCACATTTTTGATTATTAAAAGAATGACTCTTGCTAATATTTCCACTTTAAGTCAGGACACCTAGTAACTAGGATGTTTTGCAGTTGTGGTGCTGATCCTATTTCTATGGCTCTGCACAGTATATTCTCACAATCCTGGGCACTGAGCCAGGGACTCTCACTCTAATTGGCAGATATGGAAACTGAGGCACAGGATGATTAAAATGCACCAGACATTCTCAAGGTCCCAAGTGAGTCAGTGGAAAAGCTGAAATTAGAACTCACAATTCCCAGGACCACGTCCAGCCTTCTGCACCACATTGTTTCCTTAGGAACTCATTCCACCCCCTCCCTGTACCTTCTCTGCCTATCCCATTCATTTCTCTACTTTCTCATACATGTATTGTCTTTAAGGCATGGACTTGAAAGTTATCTCTGCACAAGCTTAGGAGTACTATTCTTTTCACAATGTAAACACAGGCATATTTGTACATCACCTAGAATGAAGAAAACTGGGAAGAATATTTTTAGAAATATTTTCATTGTACATTTTGATTTGCATTCAAAATGCACTGAACCCAATAAAGTTCTGCTAACTGAACACTTATGTCATCAAAGGCAGTTCCAAATCCCACCTCAATCAAAGCACAGTTATTTCAGCAGGTTCATAGATATTTAAAGCTAAAAGGATCCTTAAAGAAGTGGAGTCCTGTTTGAGATAGAGAAACTGTTGACCACAGCTGTCACTTGCCTGAGTTAAGGATACCTTCCCATTTAAAGGCAGACCCAAGATTGGAACTGAGGCTCAGGAACTCTCCTGTGCTTTCCTATTACTGCTGCTGTCCCACATATGCCCCAACAGTCTTGCTGCTATGTTCTGTGGACCACGTGAAAGGAAACTAGGTTTGCATCTGAACTTCAACATCATCTTGCTCTCAAGAGACCCCACAGGTCTATCTGTTGAGTGATTGATAGTGCCTCTTTTTGCCAGTCCCCAGTGTGTTCATTGCCTTACGTGCAGCATCAGCTTGATTAATCTCTCATCAAAACAATCATGATAAGTTCTGTTTCCTAGGGGACTCATTCCAGTTGCCTACAAGTTGCCCCCTGGAGAAGTACTTTCTGTTTACTGAGATCTGGAGTACAATAAGAATTAGAAATGTGCTTAAAAACAAAACAAAACCAAAGCCCAATAGGTGTAGATTCCTGTAATTTCTCAGAATGGGAATGGGATGCCTCCAATGAAGCTGAGCTGCTCTTCCCAAGAACTGATTTTCTGTTCCACAGTCTATGGAACAAGTGCTCTTCTGGCAAGAATCATTATGCAGACCTAAAGACCAAAAGCATGAACGTGCTTCAGTGATATTTTTGTCTCAATAGATGCTTTATAAGGAGGCAACAGTTTATATTACTAGATTTTTATAAATGATGTCAAATACCTTTGTACAGCACTGGCTTATGATGCTTCAATTTCAGAAACATAAGTTAACAAAAAAAATCTAGCAGCAGATGTCAA